GTTTTAAATTTAATTGTACGCTCACTATTCCCCATGGTACTCTATTCTGTACTTCTTCTCATTCAACCCATTTGTTGTTCCACAGTCTCCAATGGATCAGTTTTCATCGACTGTGGATCCTCTCGCATCGTGGCTACAATTCCAGGGCAACGCACAACACATGCAATAAACCACATGGTCGGTGACGTCCGAAACCGAGTCAGGCTTTTGTGAAAGCTCGTGTTTGGACGGTGATCCGTGCTCAGTCCTATCAGTTAAGGTTTCTCACAGGACTTGTATGTATATTTCCTTCGATTTTTTGTCACACAAAACAATCTTACATCTTACCCATGATACATATATACTCATTTTAGGCTGTAACCGTGTGACTAACAAATGTTTCCGTCCGTGGACTCCCCCTTCGGTCTTTGTACAAGTCTTCCCACCGGCCCACGTCCATTTTATGCGTTTACTAATGAATTCATTTTTAGTCAGCCCCGCCTGATCCGTTTTGCGGTGAACCAAAACGACTGATTGATGACAATGGTAATCATAAGGAATATCTTTTTAACTTCTTTTTCCCTGCTCCATGCTCTCTCGTCGACCTCTGCCCCCACGCAGTCATTCTCATTACACATGGGTTTCTGGCATCTTCTCTCGCACCTCTTTCCCGCGTGCGTGCGCTTTGACCCACATGTCATCCCGAAGACCATGTTGTTTTTTGTGGTGTTGTATTTGACTTGTCGTTACTACTGTGTTTTGTACATAGTTGACAATACCCGATCCCGATGACTACGATTTTTCAAGTTGCCACTCGTTTTTCTCTTGTTTCGAGGCTTACTTCAATGAGTGATTCTCATCAGAGAACGAGAGCGACTGTTCCTGGCGTACTTTCATGTCTTGTCTGTGTTAGCCCCTATACGTAAGGCTTGTAAGTTATTCGTAACAAACTTGAACTCGCGCAACCCATTTCCTGTCTGGGTCAGCGGAGTGTCGTATTCAAGGCTGCAATTTGACGACAAACATGATCAAAGTAGTCCACCGTATGTGATCGCTCTTCACTAGAAAGTGGTGCTCACCTTATATATGTATTTCACACGCGTCTGAGTTCAGACTATGTGCCAAAATAAATCGTGGTACAATAATCTGTATAAAAATAAAAAGCGTTCCGCGATTTGCACGTGGGCTGAATACTGCCAGGTNCTCGACGATGTGTGACGTGTTTTGGCGGAGTAAATCCACTTAAACCGGGACTATATTGATATATATTTCACATACGTCTGACGCCAGTCTATGTGGCAAAAAAATATCGGTACAGTAATCTTTATAAAAAGAAAATCGTTCCGCGATTTGCACGTGGGCTGAATATGCCAGGTTGCCCAGGCCAAGGCAGGTGAATTTTCTTGGGGAATCCACAGCCGGAGCCTTCGGCTAACCAAAGCCTGACCCGCGGGGCGGTGTGAAGACCGCAGTTCATCGGACCATACGCCTTTCGGACGGAGTCAAACGTCCAAGGTACCCAATACACCTCAATGCCAAATTGAGCCGGTGACCGTTGCCACAACCGGAACGGTGTGGGTGTGGTTCGTACGCCTCCTCTTGGTTGGTTTGGAATCAGGGTTTTTGACCGGCTCCCCTAGGCGAACTGCCAATGGTCCACCAACCC